TCTACACCTTTCACGCACTTCCTCAATCAATGCTTTCGTGTGAACTTTCTGCAGCTTATATCTTTCTTTCATCTTCTCTCTCATATCCTTATCATTACTAGAGGCCAAGTAGTCTAACCATGCTTTCTTCTTCTTCTTTACAGCTTCTTTCACTTCATCATTCCACCATGCATCTCTTCTTTTACTACTGCCTCTTTTTATTGTTCCACACACTTCTTCCGCTGCACTTACCATTCCATCCCTAAGGTTCTGCCATGTTCTTTCTACACATTCGTTTCTGCCATCGATGGTGTCAAGCTTTTCGGCTACCCTCGCATGATATTTGTCCCTAGTATCCGCTTCCTGAAGCTTCCAGCTTCGGATGCGACAGACCGACTGTGGTTCTGTCACTGTCGTCCGGTAGCGCCAACCCGCGAACAGACCCCTAAATCTAGTAATCACTAGATAGTGATCCGTTCCCAGGTCAGCACCCCTGAACACTCGCGTATCCATAACCTGTTTTCGCAGTCGGTCATCCACCAGGAACAAATCGATCATACTTCTCTCATTCTTTCTTTCTCTAGTATACATATGGATTTTCTTGTGATTAAACATAGTGTTTGTCACAAGAAGACCCTTTTCCTTGCATACCGCCAGTATAAGCTTGCCAGCATCATTAACCCTTTTATCGCCAAACTTTCCAAGTACCGACTCGTACCCTGGTCGAGCGGTACCAACCCATCCATTCAAATCACCACATACAACAATCCTTTCGTTTCCCCTAGCCAAATCTAGAACTTCTCTTACATTCTCCCAAAACTCCTCCAGCTCAGCCCTGGACGACGAAGCCACCGGCGCATAAACAGCCAAAAGGAATAACTTCGTCAGTCCCAATTTAAAGCGAACCCAGAGAAGTCTTGAGTTCACAAACTTATATTCAGTCATAACATCGACCAACCGAGAAGACAGCAGCACCCCCACTCCCTGGCAGGCGTTCTCGCTCTCCGGGACTCCGGACCATAGAGCTAACGCCCCGCCAGGGAGCTCTTCAGTACCACTGCCCTTCCGTTTGGTCTCCGACATACACACGACATCTAATTCTCTTTCTTTCATTATTTCGATCAACTCATTCGTCTTATCTCTCATGCCTCCTCTAACATTCCACGTGCCAACTCTGCACTCTGTCCTCCACCTTCCGCCGTGTCGGGCTGTGCGTGACGGGTGGCGGTCCCCATCGCCGCTTTGCGCGCTGCATTCCACACCAACGGGGACGAGCTGGTGTGCGTCGCCTTGGGGGGACGCCCTAACCCTCGTTGACATGGGTGCGCAGCTGAGTAGAATTGCAGCCCTGAAAAGGGCTGGCAGGGGTCGCGACGAGCACGCTTCTACAATGACCCCCAAGCCCAAGGCCAAAGCCTTAGTACTTAATTATAAAGCAAATAATGAGCCCTTGAAAAATTTAATGGGGAAAGATGACTTGTTTTAAAATTTGAGGGTATGAATTTACGATAGACAAGACTGTGAGTATATTTAGCCCGAAATAGCTTAAAATGCAAATTATCTGGGCTTAAGAGTGCCTTCTGGTTTATTATACAGACTAGAAGCTAATCACTCACGTCAAAAAGGGACTATCGCCTTGTAATGCAACAAATAATTAAATGGAAAAGGGAAATATGAAAAGGAACGAGCTCACTCTTTAAAAAAAAATGTCCAAGCGCAGCGGTTCCGCAAGCAAGCTGTAGATGCCGGTCTGCTGGTGTAGACTGCGAAGACACTGGTGCGAAGCTCCTGTTTATTCCCGAATCCCGAAGCCGGAAGTCGTAGTGGTCTGGCTGCACGGCGCACGAAGTATAAGTTGATCCCGTAGTATTCCGGTAGGTCTAGGTACTGAGTTAGCGTGGCGTGGCTATGACCTCTTTGCCCTTCACCTTTGATCAATGTAGGTTAATCTTCATAATCCGACGAATAATTAGTATGTCCTGTCACGGTTGCCACTTTTGTACAATATGGTACAAAGAAATGAAACTTCGAAGGAGTCTCAGTAATCTATTTTAATGTACTATTTAACTTGTACACAATTATCTTAAAAATATTAAATAGGACGTGCTAACAGATTAAGAGGCCAGAAGGTAAAGGTACATTGAATAATTCAATTGAACAGTCGTTGGCTATTGCCAGTATTACGTATGCAAACGTAACGATATGCCATTGGTAGAAGTACAAATGGATTTATTAGAAAGAAATATGGACCTTAAACGTAAACAATTACGGTGAAACTTAGTACTATTACTAAGCCTAACAAATCAAACGTACCTACACGTAAGACATAATAATTGCTATACGAGTTACATTACATCTTACTTAAATAATAAATACTTAAAACGCTAAGACGAAAGCGGCGCGAACACAGCCTATTTGACAAGTTATGGGGGAGACCTATGTTCAGTTCAGTGGACTTTTGATAGGTTTTAATGATAACGGTGATGAGTTCTATTCTTTCGAATCTTTGCTACCGTTATATATAGAAAACAAAAACGTAACATCTCCGAAAATATAAATGATATAAAAACAGCATAACTGCCCCATTAAAACTAAAAAAAGTAGCGACCTACATACATGTCACTACTGGGCACAGGCCACAGAGCTTTTGGCCAAAAAAAGTGCCAACGCTGGATCACCTCAGCTGGGGAACTTCTCAGATATTCAGGTTTTCTTTAACCGCCGAGAACGTGGCAAATCGACACTTCAAATTGCATTTAACATATACGTAAAAATATAAAATATAATAACGCTTATGTACTATGAAATTTACCTTTGCCTTTGACAAGTAAAATAAAATATATCTTTGTTTAAGTAAAATATGAAATCTTCGATATTTAAAGTATTTTTTCGCAACAGCCTGTTCATTTCCATATCTAGTGTGAGCTATGAAACCACTACTGTCACAAAAATCTTGATTTGTCTGATAATATGAAAACTCAAAAATACAAAAATCCAACAAACTGATTTATAAGTCTCATTAAAGGTATAAAAACTAAAGTAGCAGCTTACATACGTCTCACTACTGTGCACACGGCTCCCCATTACCTATAGTGTTTGTGAGCAGAAAAGAGTATGCCGCAATCCTTCAACTACTACTCCGACATTTAGGTTTGCCCACGAAGTTTTTCTTCACCACTTCACTGGGTACCTATGTAGTAAGTCAGTGCGTAAAATTTCTCATAACAGATTAATTTGTCCTCAAAGGACTCGTACACGTTTTGCTCCCTTGCCGTGATGAAATCTCACGGCGAGCTACACGGCTCTCGTATTTGTTTAAATAAAATTCATAAAAACTGAAACAAAGCTTTTGTACCATTGTTGACCATATCTACCGAGTAATTAGAAACCCAACGATACCACGAACTATTCCATCAAATAGAGATAAAATCACACAGTGCACTTAATTTCCAATTATTTACATCATATAACGTGATAACATATGAAGTAGGTAAAATGAAACCTATGCCAGACAGAATGACAGACAAACAATATATTGAACTAAAGAGCTTCTCTCCTAATCTCAGTTTTGTGTACAACAGTGTTGTTAGTCATTTTGCCAAACGTGGTTATTGTGGTAAATAATCCCGATAATGACCACCGGTCTAGATATTTTTAAGTGTGACAATTTTTGATGCTGCACGAATAAGAATTCGGTAGCATTCTGAAATTTAATTTTATCAGTTACTTATCATTAGTTTATTTAGAGAAAGTAGAGGGCGCTAAATTACATTAATACTATGAAAGTCAAAATTATACTATTTAGTAATATCGGCTATAGAAGAAAAAAGGTTCAAGAGCCACCCCAAAACCGGGAACATTTATTTATTATATAAAAAAGGCAATAAGTGATGTTGATTCTGTTAAAAAATCTGTTTCCTTTAAAAAACACGCTATCAGCGCCGCTAGCGGTGAATAACTATTTGACGATATGAAGATATTGTCATGAAATAGCAATATTGTGTTATGTTAGTGATATCGTTAAACGATCTCTATTATTTGTTTGGCTAAGCTATATTATGACATGGTCAACAAACAGTGATAAATATCATGAAATGACACCATTTCACGAAATAATGATTTCATGAGAATTTTGCAATAATTGCAGGACGGACCAGTTTTAATCAGTTTACATACAGATATAGTATTAAACGTATGAAAATTGATATGTTTTTTTAGTTCAAAATAATATAAATGTTCATACGTTTGATAGATGATGTCATGATGTTTTTAGATAATAGATGTCACTTTTATTTATTATTTTTAATAACGATTAGATTAAGACTTATAGGATTTTAAAATAATTTTATTAATGTAATTATTTAAACATATATATGTAAGTTATTTATATAATTTATTAGTTACTAAAAGCAAAATGAAGGCTTTTTTCATTTGATGATAGATGGCGCTGTTTTGATAATTAAAACGTATATTGTCAGCGGAGTTTCAAATTGTTATGGAAAGGTTAAAACTAATTTAAATTAAATTTACAAATATAATATTTCTTTTAAAAACACCCGTCATCCCGCCTATTAACTAAAATAATCATATAATCATATATAATAGAAAATTAACATCTAAAGGAAGAAAAATACTTAACCTTCTTTTTTAAGTTTCGTAATCGGGTAAAAAGTAGCCTATAAGTTGCCCCGGGGTACTAACTACCTACATATAAATTTTTATGGAAATTGGTCCAGTAATTTTTGTGTGAATCGGTAATACACAGACAGAGATAGACAGATAGACAGACAAAAATTATAAAAACCACTAATTTAGCTTCAGCACACTTTATTTAGTAATATGGACTTGTTTTTTCAAAAATATGTTACAATTACAGACACGGCTTTTCTACAGATTTATTATATGTATAGATTCGGTCGTCGAAATATTTATTTCCTCCTTTTTCCAAAGTCGTGTATATAACCAGACATCGAACGTTGTTTGTTTTTAATGTATTGTTCTATTTTGGTGACGTGTGTCAGGCCGCACAAGTGCCCGGAGCCGGCGCGCGGCGGCACGCTGGCGGCGCTGGCGCTGGGCGCGCGCAGCGGCGCGGACGCGGGCAGCGTGTGCGCGCGCGAGCTGCGCCGCGAGCTGGGCGCGCCGCCCGCCCGCCGCGCCTACTCGCGCCTCGTGCACGCGCACTTCGCGCCCGTGCGCACGCTGCGCCTGCAGGACGACGACTCCTTCTTCACGCACACCATCTTCCACGTGAGTACACTACAGTACAGTACAGTACAGTACAGTACAGTACAGTACAACAGCGCGCGAGCTGGGCGCGCCGCCCGCCCGCCGCGCCTACTCGCGCCTCGTGCACGCGCACTTCGCGCCCGTGCGCACGCTGCGCCTGCAGGACGACGACTCCTTCTTCACGCACACCATCTTCCACGTGAGTACACTACAGTACAGTACAGTACAGTACAGTACAGTACAACAGCGCGCGAGCTGGGCGCGCCGCCCGCCCGCCGCGCCTACTCGCGCCTCGTGCACGCGCACTTCGCGCCCGTGCGCACGCTGCGCCTGCAGGACGACGACTCCTTCTTCACGCACACCATCTTCCACGTGAGTACACTACAGTACAGTACAGTACAGTACAGTACAGTACAGTACAACAGCGCGCGAGCTGGGCGCGCCGCCCGCCCGCCGCGCCTACTCGCGCCTCGTGCACGCGCACTTCGCGCCCGTGCGCACGCTGCGCCTGCAGGACGACGACTCCTTCTTCACGCACACCATCTTCCACGTGAGTACACTACAGTACAGTACAGTACAGTACAGTACAGTACAACAGCGCGCGAGCTGGGCGCGCCGCCCGCCCGCCGCGCCTACTCGCGCCTCGTGCACGCGCACTTCGCGCCCGTGCGCACGCTGCGCCTGCAGGACGACGACTCCTTCTTCACGCACACCATCTTCCACGTGAGTACACTACAGTACAGTACAGTACAGTACAGTACAGTACAGTACAACAGCGCGCGAGCTGGGCGCGCCGCCCGCCCGCCGCGCCTACTCGCGCCTCGTGCACGCGCACTTCGCGCCCGTGCGCACGCTGCGCCTGCAGGACGACGACTCCTTCTTCACGCACACCATCTTCCACGTGAGTACACTACAGTACAGTACAGTACAGTACAGTACAGTACAGTACAACAGCGCGCGAGCTGGGCGCGCCGCCCGCCCGCCGCGCCTACTCGCGCCTCGTGCACGCGCACTTCGCGCCCGTGCGCACGCTGCGCCTGCAGGACGACGACTCCTTCTTCACGCACACCATCTTCCACGTGAGTACACTACAGTACAGTACAGTACAGTACAGTACAGTACAGTACAACAGCGCGCGAGCTGGGCGCGCCGCCCGCCCGCCGCGCCTACTCGCGCCTCGTGCACGCGCACTTCGCGCCCGTGCGCACGCTGCGCCTGCAGGACGACGACTCCTTCTTCACGCACACCATCTTCCACGTGAGTACACTACAGTACAGTACAGTACAGTACAGTACAGTACAGTACAACAGCGCGCGAGCTGGGCGCGCCGCCCGCCCGCCGCGCCTACTCGCGCCTCGTGCACGCGCACTTCGCGCCCGTGCGCACGCTGCGCCTGCAGGACGACGACTCCTTCTTCACGCACACCATCTTCCACGTGAGTACACTACAGTACAGTACAGTACAGTACAGTACAGTACAACAGCGCGCGAGCTGGGCGCGCCGCCCGCCCGCCGCGCCTACTCGCGCCTCGTGCACGCGCACTTCGCGCCCGTGCGCACGCTGCGCCTGCAGGACGACGACTCCTTCTTCACGCACACCATCTTCCACGTGAGTACACTACAGTACAGTACAGTACAGTACAGTACAGTACAACAGCGCGCGAGCTGGGCGCGCCGCCCGCCCGCCGCGCCTACTCGCGCCTCGTGCACGCGCACTTCGCGCCCGTGCGCACGCTGCGCCTGCAGGACGACGACTCCTTCTTCACGCACACCATCTTCCACGTGAGTACACTACAGTACAGTACAGTACAGTACAGTACAGTACAACAGCGCGCGAGCTGGGCGCGCCGCCCGCCCGCCGCGCCTACTCGCGCCTCGTGCACGCGCACTTCGCGCCCGTGCGCACGCTGCGCCTGCAGGACGACGACTCCTTCTTCACGCACACCATCTTCCACGTGAGTACACTACAGTACAGTACAGTACAGTACAGTACAGTACAACAGCGCGCGAGCTGGGCGCGCCGCCCGCCCGCCGCGCCTACTCGCGCCTCGTGCACGCGCACTTCGCGCCCGTGCGCACGCTGCGCCTGCAGGACGACGACTCCTTCTTCACGCACACCATCTTCCACGTGAGTACACTACAGTACAGTACAGTACAGTACAGTACAGTACAACAGCGCGCGAGCTGGGCGCGCCGCCCGCCCGCCGCGCCTACTCGCGCCTCGTGCACGCGCACTTCGCGCCCGTGCGCACGCTGCGCCTGCAGGACGACGACTCCTTCTTCACGCACACCATCTTCCACGTGAGTACACTACAGTACAGTACAGTACAGTACAGTACAGTACAACAGCGCGCGAGCTGGGCGCGCCGCCCGCCCGCCGCGCCTACTCGCGCCTCGTGCACGCGCACTTCGCGCCCGTGCGCACGCTGCGCCTGCAGGACGACGACTCCTTCTTCACGCACACCATCTTCCACGTGAGTACACTACAGTACAGTACAGTACAGTACAGTACAGTACAACAGCGCGCGAGCTGGGCGCGCCGCCCGCCCGCCGCGCCTACTCGCGCCTCGTGCACGCGCACTTCGCGCCCGTGCGCACGCTGCGCCTGCAGGACGACGACTCCTTCTTCACGCACACCATCTTCCACGTGAGTACACTACAGTACAGTACAGTACAGTACAGTACAGTACAACAGCGCGCGAGCTGGGCGCGCCGCCCGCCCGCCGCGCCTACTCGCGCCTCGTGCACGCGCACTTCGCGCCCGTGCGCACGCTGCGCCTGCAGGACGACGACTCCTTCTTCACGCACACCATCTTCCACGTGAGTACACTACAGTACAGTACAGTACAGTACAGTACAGTACAACAGCGCGCGAGCTGGGCGCGCCGCCCGCCCGCCGCGCCTACTCGCGCCTCGTGCACGCGCACTTCGCGCCCGTGCGCACGCTGCGCCTGCAGGACGACGACTCCTTCTTCACGCACACCATCTTCCACGTGAGTACACTACAGTACAGTACAGTACAGTACAGTACAGTACAACAGCGCGCGAGCTGGGCGCGCCGCCCGCCCGCCGCGCCTACTCGCGCCTCGTGCACGCGCACTTCGCGCCCGTGCGCACGCTGCGCCTGCAGGACGACGACTCCTTCTTCACGCACACCATCTTCCACGTGAGTACACTACAGTACAGTACAGTACAGTACAGTACAGTACAACAGCGCGCGAGCTGGGCGCGCCGCCCGCCCGCCGCGCCTACTCGCGCCTCGTGCACGCGCACTTCGCGCCCGTGCGCACGCTGCGCCTGCAGGACGACGACTCCTTCTTCACGCACACCATCTTCCACGTGAGTACACTACAGTACAGTACAGTACAGTACAGTACAGTACAACAGCGCGCGAGCTGGGCGCGCCGCCCGCCCGCCGCGCCTACTCGCGCCTCGTGCACGCGCACTTCGCGCCCGTGCGCACGCTGCGCCTGCAGGACGACGACTCCTTCTTCACGCACACCATCTTCCACGTGAGTACACTACAGTACAGTACAGTACAGTACAGTACAGTACAACAGCGCGCGAGCTGGGCGCGCCGCCCGCCCGCCGCGCCTACTCGCGCCTCGTGCACGCGCACTTCGCGCCCGTGCGCACGCTGCGCCTGCAGGACGACGACTCCTTCTTCACGCACACCATCTTCCACGTGAGTACACTACAGTACAGTACAGTACAGTACAGTACAGTACAACAGCGCGCGAGCTGGGCGCGCCGCCCGCCCGCCGCGCCTACTCGCGCCTCGTGCACGCGCACTTCGCGCCCGTGCGCACGCTGCGCCTGCAGGACGACGACTCCTTCTTCACGCACACCATCTTCCACGTGAGTACACTACAGTACAGTACAGTACAGTACAGTACAGTACAACAGCGCGCGAGCTGGGCGCGCCGCCCGCCCGCCGCGCCTACTCGCGCCTCGTGCACGCGCACTTCGCGCCCGTGCGCACGCTGCGCCTGCAGGACGACGACTCCTTCTTCACGCACACCATCTTCCACGTGAGTACACTACAGTACAGTACAGTACAGTACAGTACAGTACAACAGCGCGCGAGCTGGGCGCGCCGCCCGCCCGCCGCGCCTACTCGCGCCTCGTGCACGCGCACTTCGCGCCCGTGCGCACGCTGCGCCTGCAGGACGACGACTCCTTCTTCACGCACACCATCTTCCACGTGAGTACACTACAGTACAGTACAGTACAGTACAGTACAGTACAACAGCGCGCGAGCTGGGCGCGCCGCCCGCCCGCCGCGCCTACTCGCGCCTCGTGCACGCGCACTTCGCGCCCGTGCGCACGCTGCGCCTGCAGGACGACGACTCCTTCTTCACGCACACCATCTTCCACGTGAGTACACTACAGTACAGTACAGTACAGTACAGTACAGTACAACAGCGCGCGAGCTGGGCGCGCCGCCCGCCCGCCGCGCCTACTCGCGCCTCGTGCACGCGCACTTCGCGCCCGTGCGCACGCTGCGCCTGCAGGACGACGACTCCTTCTTCACGCACACCATCTTCCACGTGAGTACACTACAGTACAGTACAGTACAGTACAGTACAGTACAGTACAACAGCGCGCGAGCTGGGCGCGCCGCCCGCCCGCCGCGCCTACTCGCGCCTCGTGCACGCGCACTTCGCGCCCGTGCGCACGCTGCGCCTGCAGGACGACGACTCCTTCTTCACGCACACCATCTTCCACGTGAGTACACTACAGTACAGTACAGTACAGTACAGTACAGTACAACAGCGCGCGAGCTGGGCGCGCCGCCCGCCCGCCGCGCCTACTCGCGCCTCGTGCACGCGCACTTCGCGCCCGTGCGCACGCTGCGCCTGCAGGACGACGACTCCTTCTTCACGCACACCATCTTCCACGTGAGTACACTACAGTACAGTACAGTACAGTACAGTACAGTACAACAGCGCGCGAGCTGGGCGCGCCGCCCGCCCGCCGCGCCTACTCGCGCCTCGTGCACGCGCACTTCGCGCCCGTGCG